TCTCTCTATCTATCTATCTATCTATCTATCTATCTATCTATCTATCTATCTATCTATCTATCTATCTATCTATCTATCTATCTATCTATCCATCTATCCATCCATCTATCCATCCATCTATCCATCCATCTATCCATATATCAATCCATCTATCCATCTATCCATCTCTCTCTCTCTCTCTCTCTCTCTATCCATCTATCCATCTATCCATATCTCTCTCTCTCTCTCTCTATATATATATATATATATCCATCTATGTATCTCTCTCTCTATCCATCTATCCATCTCTCTATCTATCTATCTATCTATCTATCTATCTATCTATCTATCTATCTATCTATCTATCTATCTATGTATCCATCTATCTATCTATCTATCTATCTATCTATCTATCTATCTATCTATCTATCCATCCATCTATCTATCTATCCATCTCTCTATCCATCTATCTATTCATCTCTATCTCTCTCTCTCTCTCTCTCTCTCTCTCTCTATCGATCTATCTATCTATCTATCTATCTATCTACGCTGAAATGGGCAAGGTGCTCATGTAGCTTAATTTTGTGACTGTGCTGTTAGACTTAGAGTAGCTCTGGACTCGGCCATGTCTCTGGAGCTGGGTCCTAAAGGCCTGTTGGTGTTTGAAGACTACGTCAAGAGCAACTCCTCCAGCTCACACCACGCACAGCGTAAGGGAATCCCAGGTAGGTCAGACACTAACACGTACTGTACTGAGACTCGACTCACATCAAAGTACTCCATGCAGTAAGTTAAGAATTTGTGCTGGGCCCCAGCCCCTCAGAGCCCCTCCCTGCAGCCCCAGGAGCCAGGCTCAGCCACCAGCACCAGTGTCATTGTCTACTGGAAAGTCAACCCTGATGACATCATCGACTGCTTCCAGGTCTACTGCTTAGAAGATCCACAAGGAGGTATGTAAATACTCTCAGGGTGCAATGACATCAGGAAGATCTACATTTGAAGTTATCAAGTAAATGTTGTGAAGGTCAGACTACTGAAGGTTTCAGAGGAGCAGCAAAAAATACACTGAAAAAAATAAGAGTAAAGTGAGGGTAAATATTGCAGTACACAAATGTATTAATCGGGTGCAACAGAAGTCATCGCTTCTTTTTTCTTTCGGCTTTATCCCTTTTTCAGGGGTTGCCACAGCGAACCATTGATTTCCATCTCTCCCTGTTCTCTGCATCTTCTACTCTGACTCCAACTATCTGCATGTCCTCCCTCACTGCATCCATATACACTATATTACCAAAAGTATTCGCTCACCTGCCTTGACTCATACTATGAACTGAAGTGCCATCCCATTCCTAACCCAGAGTTCAGTATGATGTCGGTCCACCTTTTGCAGCTATTACAGCTTCAACTCTTCTGGGAAGACTGTCCACAAGGTTGAGGAGAGTGTTTATAGGAATTTTTGACCATTCTTCCAAAAGCGCATTGGTGAGGTCACACACTGATGTTGGTCGAGAAGGCCTGGCTCTCCGTCTCCGCTCTAATTCATCCCAAAGGTGTTCTATGGGGTTCAGGTCAGGACTCTGTGCAGGCCAGTCAAGTTCATCCACACCAGACTCTGTCATCCATGTCTTTATTGACCTTGCTTTGTGCACTGGTGCACAGTCATGTTGGAAGAGGAAGGGGCCCGCTCCAAACTGTTCCCACAAGGTTGGGAGCATGGAATTGTCCAAAATGTTTTGGTATCCTGAAGCATTCAAAGTTCCTTTCACTGGAACTAAGGGGCCAAGCCCAGCTCCTGAAAAACAACCCCACACCATAATTCCTCCTCCACCAAATTTCACAGTCGGCACAATGCAGTCTGAAATGTACCGTTCTCCTGGCAACCTCCAAACCCAGACTCGTCCATCAGATTGCCAGATGGAAAAGCGTGATTCATCACTCCAGAGAACGCGTCTCCACTGCTCTAGAGGCCAGTGGCCAGTAGTGCTTTACACCATTGCATCCGACGCATTGCATTGCACTTGGTGATGTGTGGCTTGGCTGCAGCTGCTCGGCCATGGAAACCCATTCCATGAAGCTCTCTGCGTACTGTATTTGGGCTAATCTGAAGGTCACATGAAGTTTGTAGCTCTGTAGCAATTGACTGTGCAGAAAGTCGGCGACCTCTTTGCACTTTATACACCTGTGGCCAGGACAAGGGATTAGGACACCTGATTCTGATCATTTGAATGGGTGAGCGAATACGTTTGGTAATATAGTGTATCTCCTCTTTGGCAAGGTGGCTTTGAGCCAATATACCTGTGTTTGCTGCACTCACCTATAATTTTTGCAAATGCACGTATATGTACTAATAATGTACTAACTAATTTTGCATAGTATGTCCCGTTTAAAACGACCTGAAGGGCTGGATCAGTCCTGCGGGCCTTAAGTTTGACACATGCTCTGCAATGTTGATCTCCACAGCTGTGTCTGAGGAGTACCGTGTGACAGTCAAGGAGAGTTACTGCGTCCTGGAGGAGCTTGAACCTGACAAAACCTACAAAGTGTGGGTAATGGCTGTCAACTACACTGGCTGCTCTCTGCCTAGCGATAGACTCCACTTCACCACTGGTCAGTCTATAATCTATAATAAAAGTCTTTTCTCACATGCAAAAAAACAAATTACCTTTAGATACACTTTTCCTCTGGCAGCTCCATCAGTTCCACTCATCAACACAGAGAACTGCACTGTTGTGTGGAATTCAGCCACAGTGAGGTGGAAAAAACAGGCGCCTGGAGTGAGTTACACTCTAGAGTACTGTCGTCAGTACGAGCTGGAGGGAGAGGGACTGAGGTGGGTGTCAAACACTTTACTGATGGTACCTTGACTGTGACACACCATTATTGATACCAGAACACTTAAAATGGTCCAAAAGTTGAATAAAGCACATCTGTGACTTGCTTCCAGATCCATTTCAGGAATCAAACACTGTGAACAGAAGGTTCCTTTGCAGCCCAATGAGAACTATCTGTTTTACATTAAGGCAGTGAATGAGGCTGGAGCCAGTGAGCAGAGTGAGGCCGCACGTATTTCCACAAAAGGTAAAAAAAAAAAAAAAAAGGAAAGAAAGAAAAAGAAAGAAGACGCAAACTGTCATTAAAAGCATAATTTATTGAATTTATAAATTCAGTTTAATACAAACGGTTTCACACCAGGGACAGGAATTAGTGAAGCCTGGATCAAAATGAAAATTAGTGTTTGCAAGTAACATCTTGGATCAGTGATTCCCAACCACTGTGTCGTGGTCCATTAGAGGTATCACCCGGTGAACTGTGGATAATCATCCAATTTCTTTATTCTTCTATGTGACAGTGACAGACTGAACAAATAAATACTCTTCCACTGAGAGGCAGCAGCTATACAAACTGGTTATGAAACCTTGAGAAAAAAGAGAGACCGTTGTAGAAGATCAGTTCCTGCCATTCCTGTCACAAACAGCATTGTGTTCAACTAAATACGCCCAGGTTTCACACAACTCTGACTCAAAAACTTACAGGCTAGATGAGTGTAAGTAAAAATGGTGACTATCAAACCACTTGTCGTGCAATTACACTGATAAAAATAAATATTTGTTGGTGTTTACTGATTTGGATTGATCACTTTTATGTAGATTTGGACAACTTCCTCACCGTACTACTGAAAGTAAAACCAGGTTTGAAACTGGTTGAACACTCAGACAGACATCCACTGTTTTGCCAGATATACCTCTGTATAAAAACATGCATTTCCAGTAAAATCTTATCTCTTTCTGGTACTGTTTTGCAGGAACAAGGTTCCATCTGCTGAAAGCCTCAGCTCATCCAGCTCTGGAACTTGCAGCCGACCATAAAACCCTGCATTTCTCCCAGGACACATACAAAATCATGCGAGCCACAGAAAATCAGTGAGTTAAACTACAGGGACAACCTCCTCCTGAAACAAGACACAGATCAGAACCATGTGTCAACCTGAGTCTGTGTGTATTCCAGGTGTCCATCTGTCCTGGGGGAGTTGTTGCCAGCACGGGGATGCTACTACTGGGAGACAAATGTGTCACAGAGCACAGCTTACAGGCTGGGAGTGGCGTACAGCACAACCAGCAGGGAAAGCTCACTGGGAGAGAACACTTCTTCCTGGTGTTTACAGTGTGTTATTACACCAGCAGGGTAGGTTACCGTTTTATTCTCTATCAAAGTAGTTTAGTCTCGTTGCCCAAGTCTAAATCATTCAACCATTACAGTTGCAGATATCAGTTGCTCCACAGTAAGGTTCTGTCCACTGTGTTGGTGATTGAGACACCTGAGCGAGTGGGAACCCTACTGGATTACCAGCGTGGCCGCTTGTCTTTCTACAATTCACAAAGTGGACAACTCCTGGGTTCCTTCAGCCAGCTCTTCCCTCGACCATGTCACCCTGCTCTAGCCTTAGAGTTGCCAGGCAGTCTGGAACTTTGTGTGGTGCAAGAAAGACCAGAGTTTACCAAAGACAGCTAACTCAAAACTGCCCTCACACAAACTGAGGAATTCTGTGAAAACAGAAAACAACTGTGTTATGTCTTTGTCACCACTTTGTCTCTATAAACCTACAGTAGCACTTTTTGACCTGTGTTTTATATTGTGAATAACTGGATTTAGTGTAAATAACCTTTGTAAGCTAATTCGTTCAGTCCTTATTTTTGCGCCAATGAAAAAAAAGCCAGCTCCACTATTAAATTGATTTTCTTATATGTGTTGATTGAATATGACAATTTTTTGTTTTTTTGTATTTTCAAAACTTGACTGATTTACTTGACTCATTTGCTTACTAACTCATGTTCGCCAGCAGGGGGGCCCAGAACTCTGCACAAAGAGCTGTTTGGAATTGGCTCAACTAAAATGCTGGACTATTCAAAAGAAAAGATACAAATAACATGATCTGATGCTGTGTTTTTGGAAATACATACGCTTTACTTCTTTATCCACGGTCATGTTTTAATTCGGTGCTGACATTGTCATGTATTATATTAAAAATGTTACCCTCAAATATAAAATAAAAACACATTAAATAATAACTAAACAGTTTTTCATGTATTTCCTTTCCACACAACACAAAAATCTCAGTGATGGCCTACAGCTAATGAAACTTTGTGCTGCACACTTTTTTCTTAAATTATAATGTTACAATTTTTCCAGACACTGGAGATTTTTCCATCCTCATCCCTTAACACGTTTCCTGATTTAAGGGGGATTTGGGGATGGGGGGTGAGGGGGCAGACACATGCTCACCATCAGGGAACAGCTGCTGGTTTCCATGTGCTCGGCTGGAATTGGAAAGATAGCTTTCAAAAATGTGACGCCTCACGTTTTACTGGAATCTGAATTTACTTTCTGCTGCCCTGCAGTGGAAAACAATAAGCAGAAAAACTGAAGTGTTTCATTGTCTGTGAAATGCTTCTGTTTCATTCCTCTAAACTACAAAAAAGTGACAATATGGTTGTTAAAGAATTCTTCAAATACAAACCAGGAGGGCAGGTAATTTACTGATGAAAAAGCAAAGAATAAAGTTTTCTGTTTCTTCTGTGAACAGTTCCCTGTATCTGAATGGCCATTACCCAAAATACGTTTCCTCTTTGTTTAATCACTTTCCCTTTTTCCACACCTGAGGCCAAATGCAGAAAAATGCCTTTAATTACACAACTAAATCACACAGTTGCAGAGACACAGTGAAGTCATCTGTAATTACTGCTGGAAGAACAGCTCAGCTGGCAGCACAGCTTCATGCACTGACTTTATTCAAGTAGAGGAAAAATGTAACGTTCAATCATCAAACAAAAATACTGGTAAATATGGTTTAGTATTTCATGTTATATTATATTAAATATGTAAGATTTCAGATCAGGGGTGAAATGTTAGAGGGAACAAGCACAATTGCACCAAAATAACAGATAGAAAAGACAGATTTGTTTTTATGTTGCTCTTATTTGAAGTCTGCATCAATAACAGGTCATATTAAGCTGTTGCATCAGTGAAGAAAAAGAATATGTTTAAGGTAGAGAAATGTGTCAGGGAGGCTCTGAAGAAAAACTTCATAAAATCAATCTGGTTAAGGGATCGCATTATCAGTTGATAGAAATAAAGAAAAGACAAAGATAAGGTATTTCCTACTACTGTCCCACAAACTTCAACAAAGGAGGAAAAATAAGGCAACTACCAAGACCAGCTCCAAACTGAAGGAATGGAAAAAGTTGTCAATTATGAAAAAAAGAGGAAAGGCGAAAACGTGCACGCTAACAACAATGTTAAGTTACACAGGTATTGGCACAGAGAAACAACAACTAGAGAAAACACGACACGGAAAACAACAACGAGTCAACTACAATGACGTCACTGGCAAAATCAAACTCAAACTTAAATTATTCTTTTTAAAGCAATGAAAACACTTTAGCAGTTATTTATAGGAATTCAATTTTAAACCTCTTTACAAAACATCTTTACAAAAGTCAACTCTTTCACTTTGTTTTGCTACTGAGCAACATAGCTAGTGTTCATTTATCTCAAGAAGAAAATGATTGAAAGACAGTCGTTTGGTGAAAGTTCACCCATTCTCTCTTTCCTTCAATCTTATTATCAATCTCAATCTCACTCTTACACTCAGACTCTCTCTCACTCTCACTCACATACACACACACACACACACACACACACACACACACCTAATAGTCCCATTTTCCCTGTCCTGTCAAAGCATTTTTTACAGTATTCTGCAGGTAAATTGCCATATTTTGAATCTTAAACAGTATTTGCAGCTGTGCAAGCCAACGGTTATTCTGGAGGTTGTGACTGCATACAGTGAGTATAAATATATTTACTTAATGCACAGAAAACAGTTGTTCATTAATCAGACAATTATTTGTTCCACTAGCTGAATAGTACTTTGGTCAGTAATATTATTAATATTCTAAAGGATGCAGACCTGTGTGCCTCATAACCTTGAGATCATGTGTGAATGTGTTATTTGAATTATTAAACCAAAGACATAAATTATCTGTGTCCTTACGTTTGACATTCTGATTAAAGGAAACTTGTTTAAAGCAAACTTATTTTGTAGTGATTAGACAAACGTCATTGTTATCAAATTGTTTCTGAATTATTAACCAAAATGTATTGTCAATAGATGCATTGACCAACAACTCTAAAGTGCTATGTTTGGGTAAATGCACACACAAACAGGGGCTAAGGAGTCATGAAGCATGTTGCTTTACTATTTTAGTTATTAAGGTGCTCTTATACAACAGTGTTAGCCACAATGAGGATAAAAAAAATCTATTCTCAAATTACGAGAATAAAGTTGTACATCCAGGAGAATACAGTCGTAAGCATGCAACTTCTTTCTTTTTTATCATCTCTTTATTCTCATATACTTACTTTATTTAATCTTGTAATTACTCATTTTGTTATCCTTAATGTGGCCTTGATGCTCTTTCCTTTTTTTTTTTACTAAGGTCAATTTAACTTTAAAATTAAAATACCCTAACATATTCTCTGTAGGACTTTAACACCAGCTCCGCTTTGCTTTGAACTCTCCATGTCTTACTCATTCAGCACCACTTCACAGCATTCCATCTTCACCACAAACATGAGCTCAACCTCTTTAAAGACCTCACACAAGCGCTTTTCCATCTTTCAGACGTCACACAGCTTTGAAATATATCATTATTATCATGCTTCAAAAATAGTTTTTATTAACATGTGGTCCTGATTATTATTTTTCTTTTTTTCTATTTTGTTTCAAGATGTTGAGTCAGGGTCAGAAAAGCACCTTTTGTCCATCCTGCTTTTGTGGGGTTAGGCTGGGGTCGAGCTCTTCTCAGTGATCAGACTGGGTTTAGGATCTGGTCTGTGGGGTTTGTGCTGGGGGCTGCTGCGAAGATTGTCATCCATCTACAGGACAGGACATATGTTAACAGTGCATTTACAGTGAACATGTTTAGTTTCAACATAATCAAACGGCCTAGATCTACAGTAACATCAGCTGAAACCTGATCTGATGAATCCATCAGTGAACTCATGCAAGGAAGAGAAATGGAAAGCAAAAGCACCTTCTCTATTAGGTTGGACTCTTTATTTACAAGCTGAGTTAGTTTCTGCAGGTTTGCATCCTTTGTTTCCTCAATGGGAGGGGGAGGACCTGAGGAGAGAAGCAGTAGAGTGGACACCAGCAAGGAGGAGAGGAATTTAAAAAAAAAGTGTTAGAGAGTACCAAACCACTGGGCTGCTCACGTGAACAGAAGGCATGCAGGGAAACACAGAGATGACAAGTTAGAATGTAAGTAGGATGTGGTTAGTGTTTTCTGTGCCAATGAGGATAAATGGGTTCAAACATCCTTGTGACAACAATTCATCATTCAACTCAATTAAAGAGGATAAAACTCCCCTTGGAGAAGTTATCTTACAGGGGTGATCAGAGCTGAAATAAGCGGCCAGGACAGTGTCACAGAAGTGTGTGAGGTTCTCCAGCTGTCTGAGGTGGCTCTGGAGAGGGCTGCTGGGAAGACTGGCTTTACAGAGAGGAGCCAGGAAACCAAACACAAAGGCGTCCAAGCTGGTCGGCCTACAATCACACAAATATAAACACACACAGGAAACCTATATTTGCACTTTCAAGCATAGTTTTAGCAATTTTAAAGGCAACAAGCACAATTTTTCACCCAACTCTTTTTTTCAGCTTGTGGTCTATTCTTGTTACGACAGTTTGACGTCACGAGACACCTGGGTGAAGTGTTGGCAGTTATGGTTATGGCAGTTATGCTTATGGAAAATAAAGTACACAGTTGACACAGCCGTTGTCCGTGTTTGTGCGACATAACATTGGCGACGAGAATAGAGGTACAAATACCACCCTTGCCGTCGTTCCTCGCTCTACCTGGTGAGCCTCCGATCCCATGGCCCTGCTGGTTTGACGCTTTTGAGACGTTTATAGCGGCCGTTGGCTTGACGAAGCCAACGACGTTAGGCTAAAAGCTATCTCGTCCACAGCCTAGGCAGCGAGAAACAGCTCATCTTGCGCACAGTCGGACCCACGGACACATATGCAGCCTGTGTCGCCGTGTTGAAGGGACATTTCGCTGCTCCACAGAGCGTAATGGTCCGGCGGATTATCTTCCGCCAACAGCCGGGTGAGTCGGTCCACCACTACGTTCCCGACCTCCGGGGACTAGCGAGCCTCTGTAAGTTTGGGACTTTAAAGGACGAGTTCATACGTGATCAGCTGGCAGAGCACACAATAGACAGTAAACAGCGGGATAAGCTTCTCACAACCCCTAATGACCTGCCCCTCTCAAAGGCAGTGGAAATAGCTCTCCAGCTCGAGTCTGTTAACACTGCGGTTAGCGGCTTCAGACCCCCCGGCCTCAGCCCGGCTAGCACAGACGGTGTCCCCGCCCCTCAGGTCATTGATCCCAATTCTCCTCACGACAACATGGACCTGGCGGGTCGCCAAGGAGCTACAGCATGCCGTTCAGGTGGCAATTGTGGTTCGTCCTCTCACACCGCACGTGCAGAGCACACAATAGACAGTAAACAGCGGGATAAGCTTCTCACAACCCCTAATGACCTGCCCCTCTCAAAGGCAGTGGAAATAGCTCTCCAGCTCGAGTCTGTTAACACTGCGGTTAGCGGCTTCAGACCCCCCGGCCTCAGCCCGGCTAGCACAGACGGTGTCCCCGCCCCTCAGGTCATTGATCCCAATTCTCCTCACGACAACATGGACCTGGCGGGTCGCCAAGGAGCTACAGCATGCCGTTCAGGTGGCAATTGTGGTTCGTCCTCTCACACCGCACGTGCATCAGTCTGCCCAGCCACCGGGCAACGGTGCCAACGCTGCGGCAAGCTTAATCACTTCTCCAGGGTGTGCCCCTCAGCGCCACTGTCCACATCCTCATCACAGAGATCCTCTAATTCAAGCCCAACCACAATCCACTCTGTGGGTTCCTGCGCCAAGCCCTTTAAGTGGTGCACAGTGGAGCTGGATGGCATCTGCCTGCCATTGCTGCTGGACACTGCAGCTTCCAGGTCCCCGCTCAGCGAGTCCACAATCCTGCACCTCTTTCCCAGCCATGCAATCAGGCCAGATGCAGAAAAACTATATGGCTATGGTCATACTAACATTGGCATGTGGGCACAGTCACTTTCTCAGTATGCTACGGTGCCAGAGTCCTCCTAGCATTCACTTTCCAGGTGTCTCGCCACGGTGCCAACCTCCAAGGGTTTGACCTGTTCTGTGCCTTGGGCTTCTCTGTCCCAGGCAATACAGGCTCTACCATCGTGACAGTGTCCACACCCTGGCAGCAACACTGACCTTCACTGGGCTGGGTTGCCTCACTGCCTTCAACCACCAGCCACTTATTGATCCAGCTGTCTCCTTTGTCATTCAACCTCTGCACTGGCTGCCACTTGGGATGAAATCATGGCCGAGCTGCAGAACCTGCAGGATGCAGGAATCGTCGAGCAGGTTAACGCATCACCCTGGATTTCAAACCCGGTGGTATTTTTAAACAGGTGTGGCGGCCTGCGTCCCTGTGTTGACCTTAGACAAGTGAACAAAGCCATGATCCCCGATAAATATCTGCTGCCCACAGTGGAAGAGCTATCTGCCAAATTCCATGGGTCTAAGGTCTTCTCCAAACTTGATCTTCGCCAAGGCTACCTGCAGGTTCCCCTACACCCCAACAGCTTTTGTGACTCACATGGGGGTTTTTCGTTACACCCGTATGCTCTTTGGCCTCACTTCTGCACACAGCTGTTTCCAAAAGATTATGACCACCATCTTTGCTGGGATCCCAGGTGTGGTGGTGTCCCTGGACGACATTGTGGTGCATGGGGCAACACAAGCCTTACACGACAACCGCGTCTGCAGGGTGTTTGATGTGCTTGCCCCCACCACAACATCACATTGAATAAGGAGAAGTGCATCATTGCAGCATCTGCCATTGAGTTTGTGGGTTTCCGTCTAACGACTGACGGCTTGAGCCCCCTCCACTCCAATTTTGCAGCTGTGCTGCACCTGCCTGAGCCCTCCTGTCCTGCACAGCTGTCATCGTTTCTCAGGATGACTTTTACCCTTTTACCTGCGCTCCCTGCCCCATTACTCTAAATATGCCGCTCCCACAAGCTGCGCTCATTCTGGTCTGCACCTCAACAGATCACTGCACAGCTCGGCCCAGTTACCTTCCACTTGACTGACAGTTCACGCTGGCATGCCAGCCGCCTTAGAAAGGTGGCTTAACCTGCCTCCCCTGGCCAGACAACTATAACTGATCTGTGCCACATTGATGGGAACTGTGACCTCCCAGATGTCAGGCCAATGACCCCTGGTAGGCGTCCACCCTCTGCAGCCTGGGCCCTGTCCTGTTCGGGTCGTCACGGGCCACACTACCTCAATGACTACGTGACTGACTTTTAAACTTAATGAAAGCATAGCCTGGCATGGGGGGGGGGGGGGGGTGGTAAATGTGGTGTATATACAGTGTGATGTCACGAGACACTGGCGTAAAGTGTTGGCAGTTATGGTTATGGCAGTTATGGTTATGTAAAATAAAGTACACAGTTGACACAGTCATTGTCCGTGTTTGTGCAACATAACACAACTGCCTGGCCTTAAGGTCAAACAACTACAACCAGTGGAGCAATGTTTTATTAGTAGCCTTGTGCTTTAAGTATTTCAAGTGTCAAGCAGTGTGTGCTGTGTGTATTCAGAGTGATGATCTTGGATCAGAAAGCAGACAGGAGGTGGTGAGATGTATCAGTTACACTTAAGTCTCCCACTACAACCTCTCCCAGACTCCTACTACATAGAAGTTTTTGTTTTTTTCCTTCAATGACATTATTTATTGATATGTGAAAGAGTAGATGACCATTTGAAAAAAAAAGTCATAAGATCTCACATGTTGCCAAAGAAGAAGTTTTCTGTTCCCAGTCTGTAGGAAAGGAGATTAAGACACTCCTTAGCATCGCTGTAAATCTGAGGCACAGAGATAAGAAAAATCTGCATTAACTGCCATAGAGTGGACATGATGATACAACATGTGACAGACTAATCATTACTTACCTTTACCTCCACCTCAGAGATTCTGTGTAGTGGTGCTTCTCCTTTCATTAACAGGATGCGGGACAGGGCATTTTTTGCATGGCAACAAGGAACAAGAAGGTTGAGAGGAAACGGTGAACGTGAGGCGAACCATGGCCGTGTCAGACTGGCATAGTTTTCTGCATCAACCCAGAATGTGTGCAACTACAGAGGACAGACAGAGACATTAGTCACAGATCATCTTATCCAGGAAACCAGCAGACAAGAGATGATGTTACCAGAGCTGGCCGTAGTTTCTCTTCAAGCAGAGCGATATATGCCATGGTGTCTGCTCCTTGTCTGGCTGTCAGCTCATAGTCTGCATTGAACCTCTGAAGAAGGAAAGAGGAGTCATGAACACTACTGCAGATGCACTTGCTGTATTCTGCAGACTGAATCTTAGGACATAATGACCAACTGCTAGACAGTCAGCAGACCCTTACTTGCTTCCTCAGGAAGTTAAGGATTTGTGTGGGTTCTTGCACAGTGGAGTCTCCACAGAGAAGCTCTGGAACTGTTGCTGCAGGACATTTGAGAAAAGCCAGGACATTTAAGGTTAAGTTGATGTATCTCTATATTATGGGAATGTGAGACGGTCTGGCCATTTTAGGAAAATTATTTACCTGTTAGAGTTTTCCAAGTCCAGTCTATAGGAGAAACAGTAACTTTGGCCCCAGAGAACTTGGTGTATGCCTGAAAGAAAAACAAATTTAATTCAGGAGGGGATCTAACATCCCACTGGGCCTTTTTTATTAAATGATTATTTAGAAAACATGTGAAATGCAAATAAACCTTTTAACAACAATATGAAAATAATATAATCACTTTTTTTCAATTCTTGTTTTAATTAATCTTTGGACACCTGTAAATCAATCACATCTTTTTATTATTTATTTTATCATTTAAAGATTAGGTTCAAGCCTCAATAAACATAATTTTAAAATATTACTCAATTGATCATTTAAAATGTATCAAATATTACTATATTACATAACTTTTTGTAATATCTCATAAAATAGATCAGAACAAAACACTAAACCCGAGTTGTAAACAGGAATAATACCATTAAATACGTCTTTCATTTATTAATGTCCTGTTTTATTGTTCATTGAATATTTCAATCTTAAAATTAAATCTCTCAAATTAAAACGCCTGATTCATCTTACAACTCGAATATTGCCACCCGGAGGCAAAACATGCAACAGCAAGTATATGTAGACAAGATAAACAACAGGACAAGATATCGGGGTTTTTTTTTCATTCCAAGGTTTTAACTACATTTGATACAGAGTGATATTCATGAGTAAGGTGAGGCAAAAAAGTCAGATGTCACTTTATCGAAGTCGACCTTTAATGTACTAATATTTCACAAAACTGAAAAGCATTTACACAGAACGCTGGCTTTCCACCAGAAATCTAAACATAAGAGAAACACCTTAAAACATCAGAATTGTTCCCACAGAAACTGGCGATATACGACAGAAACAACTTTAAACACAGACGCAGACAACAGGAGAAATGCAGAGGGTAAATTAGCATTAGAGCTAAGCAGAGATTCATAGCAGGACAAACATGGCGTCTTTGTCTTTTTTTTTTTTTTTTACACAAAGTGTAGACAAAGACCGTTTTGTTGAATTCGTGAGCGGAGGATAACGTTACCAGAACTATGAGGGAGTCTGTGTGCACAGAAGGCAGACCCCAGTCTCCTCCCCAGCATTTCAGCTCCATGGCAGCCGCCATGTTTGTCATTTATGGAGGGAGGAGGGAGGGAGGTAGTTAAGTGTCGGATGTGACGTCACCTGGCTACCTGATAGCAGACCCTGCACTTTGAGAGTCAATAAACATGTAGCAATAATAATAATAATAATAATAATAATGCTTAAAGCTGCCCACTGCTGCCCTTGGTTATGGGTTAAAAGCAGAGGCTCAGTTTCGTTGTATCCCTGTGGTACAATGACAATACAAACCATAAAATAAAGATAAATAAATAATAATAATAATGTTTATCATTATTATTATTATTGTTGTTGTAAACACATTTATTAAATATTTACATATTCAAAATATGAGAGAAACATTTATGTTTACACATAACTGAACGTTGCATAATTAAGACAACACTTTTTTTAGGGGTCATAAAAAACGTGTGTAATAGTGTGAGGTCTGTATGTTCCCTGTTCCTGCTGTCTGCTGTATGGGGTAATCAACGTGATCACACTCACCTGTGTCTCTGTCATTAGCTTCACGCCTGTCACCTGGCGTATATATACACCTCTCTTTCTCACTCTCTCATTGTCTTTGTGGGATCATTGTATCTGTTCGAGTCTGTTCATGAAGCGTGTAGTTCCTGTGACCCAGTGAGTTTTTGAGATTTTGATTTTTTTTAATAAACTACCTTCATATGAAAAGAGTCTCTCCAGTACTGCAATTTGGCCCTGCCTGCTTCCTGCCATGCCCACATGTAACAAATTGAACAAGTTGAATAATCGCCCAGGAATGAGAAACAAATGAGGTATTAACAATGTAAAATTAAAGGTCTCCTCAAATTTCCAAGCTATTAAAAGGTTGAGATGTTGCTTGGTGGCTCACAGTAGAAAAAACATAGTACACAGTACTAATTGTTGTCACGCGTGTGAAAAAAATAAGCTGTAAAAACCATAAAAACACAAACATTTATTTGAACAGCACAAACGTTAGAGACTAGTTTGGAGTGATTTGGATGCGGGTGGGGGGCCTGCGTTACGTCACAGGTCAGAAAAAGTATGTTTTTACTTACTGTACTTCAAAGCCTTAAATGGACAACCTAAAATTTCTTACGGCACAAACGTAGCGCAAACGAACTACAGCGCTATTTCAATATGTTAGAAGACGGGGGGCAGCTTCACGCAGGTCATGTGAGACTGGTAAGACTGCTTTAACGTTTGCTAGGTAGAAAATAGACTGAAGTCTTGGTCTTAAATCTGTCACATCTTGGCCTTTCAGAGTAAATGTTAAAAATTTGATTTTGCATCATTTTATGTAACTTTCCCACAGGTCCATTAAAAAGTAGTGGATGGCCCAATGTCATTTATATTATAATAATTGAATCAAATTGACATTTCTTACATTTTAATGGCGCATGTCTTGTTTTGATTTTGATTTCCTCTCGACCAGACACCAGACAGACAGAGGAAAAATATGGTGATTGTTCACTGAGGGATGGTAAATGTCTGTGTGCTGGACCAGCCCTACAGCAGAGATGTTGAAATGTACTTGAGTTTAGCAGAAACAGACAAGCAGCAGACATCTATCATGAAATGTTTCCAGGGTTAAAATATTGCCCCAAGACTCACCCTCTTTCTTTTTCACATTCTCCAAATTTTTTAATCCAGGAAAAGTGTTGCAAGAGAATTCACAGTAAATTGAATCCAAATGGCAGTCTGAACCATTTGCAATCAGTCCTGCAGGTTAATGAGCTCACAATAAATGAGCCAAATGATGAAAGCCACCTCGGTGATTCATAGGTTCTTCATATTTGTGAGAAACTGTTTCCAGCTGGAATCAGAATTCCCTCTTTCGAGACAGACTGAGTCCATTTCAGACATTTTTTCAGTTGGCTAAGTACATGCAGGCTGATTTAGAGTATTTCTCCAACTATTATATTACATTATATTTCCAGAAATCATCAATTGCAGGAGAATGTTAGGAATAAATGCTTTGTCATAAATCAAGGTATCAAAACTAATCAAAATCTTTTTTTTCTGTCTGATAAATACAAAACTGTAACAGTTTTTTTTTATGTGAAATGTTGAATATTGTCAATTAAATAGCATGGACCAGTCATGTTACAGCTTCAACAAACTGGGACATCATTCAATCTTACATTAGTGGAGAGGACACTCCCCCAGACCAGTAGAATAGTCTCAACACTGTGCCACTTTAAAAACAGTAGCGTAAGCGGACACTCCCCTTTGCTTTGCCTCTGGACAGGATTTATCATAATAATAATTCAAAGAACTCACCTTGCGGACTGATCTGCGGCTGACCGCTGTCTTACTGATCCACGGAGGGAAACATTCTCCACTGAGACGACTTTCTTCTAAAGTGTGTCCAGTCTGATGATGGGTCTGTGGGTCAGAACTGCAGCTCTGTCTCTGCTGTTGCTTCAACAGCTGGTTCTCACAGTCACAGCTGAAGGGACTGGTAAGTACTGGCTCTTCACTGTGCATGCACTTCTGGAAGACATTATTTAAAGGTTGTTACTGTGTGCTCCGCACGTTCAGATATTGCCAGTTTGGCTCCTGAGATTTTCCCATGCAAACATTCTGCAGTAGTATGTGTTTTTAATCACCAGATCTACAGCAAAGCAGGAATAAAATAGACAATTCTACTGCAACTGCAGGGATTTAATTGACTTTTAAAGACCTGCGGAGTTGTTGTTTAAAATGTAGTAACTCAGCTAAGGTCTGGTGACCTACATACTGATTGAAAGAAGACATCATGAAGAGAAGGTACAGGGTATTAATTGGTAAATTATTTATGAATGCAAAAAAATCTAATATTTTACTTGAAGCTATAGAAATGAACATGAACAAGTAATAATTGAAAGTTTAATTATGTGGTTGGCAATAAAGGAGTATAAGCTGAAGGTTTTGTCATTTGAAAATAGAAAATTTAAATTTAAAAAACTTAGCAAATGCATGGTTTGCCAAAAGTACATGCAATACTTTCCTAGTCAATGCTATTGAGTGTAATTGTTGTTTGTTTTTTTTTTACATCTACATACAACATTTCTGCATTTAGCAGTGAGATAATGCCACTGCAAAGCCCACTCACCCACAATTTACCACTGAGTTGAATTGGCAGCTGCAATCTACCACTCTGTAAAACCCAGCAGGAAACAAACATGAGCATCTTACACATGAGCACAGGCACATACACATATACACATGCACATAAAACATTTGTGTTTTGTGGGCACCTGATGCAACTTTTACAAATACATGTCTAATATTAATCCCTATCCCGAAAACTAATCTGAGTCTAATTTTATTCTTCACTTTGAACAAAACCTTTGAACCTCAGAATAAACTCTAAATACCTATCACTGCAATATGTCCCCACAACTGAAGTACTTAAACCAAAAACAAGCATAGCAATACCAGGAAAACACAGAAACAGAGGAATATAGTACACAGTACATGGTCTGAACTTCAGACTGACTCGCAGCCGTTGACATCAGGGCACATACTATATTGGTTCTTACATTTCAATAAAAGTAAAAGCAGCTATTGTAAAGAATACTTTATTTAAATAGTCAAGAATAATATTAAGCTCTTAAACTTGTTACCTCTATGTTGTTACACCAGGAGCAGTTAGGCAAATTTACCATTCATATGTGTGTGTATATATATATATAT